TCAGAATGTCTTTGGGATAGGGAAAGAAGAGAGTGAGTGACTCCATATCCAGGTGGTTAGGACAGGCACCTCGGACTGGAGAGACCTAAGTTTAAGTCCCTGTTCCTATGACTATTTATTTATAAAAAGTGTAACAGTTCCAACAGGAGAGACTTGCCCTAGGATATCGCTATCCAGGGGCTTGGCCAGGGCATTCTCCTTATAGGTGGGAGAGACTAGTTCAAATCCCTGCTCCACCTAAGGGGGAAATGAACCTGCATCTCCGACATTACAGGTTAGTATCCTAATACTTGGGCAAGTTATAAGGGAGGCAGCTATCACCTCCTCAAATTTTCTTTTGGCCAAAACTATTTATTTGGCAAACTTGTGCCAAATTCACAAATAGTTTGAGGGCTACAAACTGCATTTTTTGGCAAATAAACTATTTGTCTGAAATTTTACCTAGCGCTATTAAATGATGCATAACTAGTCCATAAGAATGCAAGGAAGTAGAGTAAAATGCCTAATAGTACTCTCAAACACAATAGCTCTTCAAACAGCCCAAGCACATCCTTCAGGGGGAGGTTTGTCAAGCAGCAGGGAACCCATTATCTGACCCAATTCTTGCTTTATGGTCCCCTTAGGTTGTGGAGGTGTTTCTGAATCCTTCTGGTGCCCTCATATGTTTAAGGCTCCACCATCCCTGTCTATCCTCAGCTACTTTTGGGGGTTTTTTTTCTGTTAAGTAGCATAAATTCTCCCTTTAAATATTGTTTGATCAAAGGATTCTAGTGGCTGGTCCTATGACATGTTCCTCCAGCTGCCCAGGGGCAAGCCTGCAGTGGCAAATGCTGTGGCTTGATTTTTACCACCTCTACCAGATACTTCCATCTTTCTTTCTATATAATTCTGGGATAACAGGTTGTTGAACGTTGTGATGAATCTCAGCATTTGTTATAAATTCATTCTATTTAATACCTAGTATTTCCTGAGTCAAAGGTATTTAGACATCTGCCTATAGCTCTGGTGGTTTTCTAGCTTTCGCATATATATGTGAAGTTGAAAATAACATTTCAGTTGAATATTCACATTGTTGGATCTTTAATCATAGTTTTTGATGACCAAATCTTGTTTAAATTGGTAAACGTACATGCTGCCTTGCCAGTTTGAGTCTTCGTTCCTTCTGGATATATGCATGATACTGCCAAGGTATGTGAACTGACTCACCTCTTGTATTCCTTTGCCTTCTAATGTAATGCCTGAGTTTGGAGTTTTTTTACAGCTCAACTGACATGCAATATCAGCAAAATCGATTTCTTCTAGTGTACTGCTATAGACAGGCATCATGTGGTATACTTTTTCCTCATAATTACAATGCCAAACAGAGGGGAGAGACTGCATTCTTGTTTAACATGAGTGTTTGTTAAACCATTCACTCAAGTCTGCATTTACTTCAACTGGCCAGACCGTACCTTGACATAAAGCCTTGATTTTATTTTTTGTTGGCATACCATTACACTTTGACCCTGGAACATTGTAATCAGGATGGAGGCAGTGAAATGCTTTAAGCCATTAGTATTCATGTATTCTTAATCCACTATCCATAAACCAAACAGAATCAATGCCCCAAGGAATAACTGAAAAATATTGATCTAGTGTAGTATGAGGTTGAAGAGGAGGGAGGCTGGAAGAAATAGGCAACACTAACAGGCTTTCAAGGAAAGAAACTGCCACGTTTTTCTGTATGGTGCAAAAGGAAGCCTTAACAGTTCTCCATCCACTAACAAAATTGTGCTCAGTTAAGTTACTCCATGTAGGGCATATTGAGTAAGAGTGTATATAGTTCTCTCCCCTAACTCTACTGTACAAAGACTGTTAATTTGTCACTAAGCTAACTTCTCATGGCAGTTCCTCAATACCTTCTATGGCTCCTAATATCTATTAGAAGCACTGATAGAATTAAATGCCCTGTCTAGAGGACAAAGTCTGTTAACTTTAATTCCCTCAGATGAAAAACACCTATAAAGGGATTTAGTTTATAATCCAAATGTAATCGAGAATAAAGATTATCATTGAAATGGTGAACTAAGGTATTTATCTTGTAAGAAAATAACTGCTCAATCTTATACTCTAAGGGCTCTTTAAAAGCTTTGGTTATTGAACAATTAAAGACACCAGGCCAAGCTTTAAAGTTCATGTAGCTGTAGTAAGGATGAATTTGGCCACTCTGTATGTTCCTAAATTCTACTCTTCAGTTGTGTGAGCTCTATTTTCTCTCCTGTCCACCAGAAGCATATACATATGGGGGAACTAGCTGAGCCCTCTGCATAAATCAGGACAGGGCAGTCTGAAGTAATTTTGGCTTGAATGTGCCTTTAGCTGGGGTTGTGCAAAATCCTTTGAGGGCTAGGCTGCAAATTTTGCCTATTTCCCCCCACTTACTGCTGTGGCCCCTGTGCTACCTTTTGCAGTACAGAACTAGCTTAAGTGATTCCTCCCAGGACTTACTGCATAGCAGAAGCCACTTAAGAAATGGCTCCTCTTCCTTTCAAGCATCCCCTGCAGATTCCCTGGGAAGGAGCTGGAGAATTCTGCTTCCAACTGATGAACCATTTCTGTGGTCCTGGGACAGTCAATACAAACTGGATGAGCAGTACTGACTGGGGCATAGCTGTAAGTAGAATGCAGCCCATAGCTCTCTGGCTATGCTTTCTCTACTCTTGGAACAGTGGACCATATGTAGAACTTTTATTCCATAACTACTCATGGCTCAAATGATAATGCATGTGGATATACAAGCAGCCCTTTTCCCTTCAGTGTTTAAGGTTAGGACTACTGATTGAGCAAAAGACATCTGAAAAATCTGGGTTAGTGTAAGGTGTGAAGTAACATTTTAAAAAGTGTCCCTTTAAAAAAAAATTAACACTAACTGCACCTGGTGCAACAAACTGCTGGAAAATTAAACAGATTGCACTTAAATTGGACTCTTGCAATGCTGTTAGTAGGAGGGAAACAAGTAGAAGTATAACTGAGATGAGGCAACTATAGTGGTTATGATCTATACATACTCTATGTTGTTCTCATACTAAGCTTCCTGGACTCAAGTAATTGCATAGACTCAGCTACTATCTGTTTTGATGGGAGTTCTGTGAACATTTGATGGAATAAGGAGAGCCCTGCAAATCTACATGCAGAGATGTGGTTGTATTGTTTACCGTCTTTGCAGATTGCAGCTCGGATGCAGATACAAATTTTTGTAGGCGTGCCGGGCTCTAGAAATAAGCAGGTCAGTGATCATCTCGTGACTCAGAAACATAGAACAATAGCATTTCCTCTACCAGAAACTCTTTCATTACTGCCAATGAAGTTATGAGAAGTTAGCCACTAAATAACACTCCATTTCCCTTTAGAGCTAATGGATCAAGGACAGTATAGGTTTCTTGTTGTACCAAAGAATATCATCTGTTATGGCAGATTATTGCCAGTTTGCTTTATTTTCAAGCAAGTGTACTGATTAAAGACAACCAATACTTGCAATTTCTTAATGTAGGCAATTGAAAAGCTGGGAGTGAGACAAACAGTCTGAAATGAAGGAGAAACTCTGACCCAGATGCTCAAAAGGTATCTAGTTGCGTAACTCATTGAAATCCAGGGTGGGCACATGCCTGATGATTTAACTGGGAATTGGTCCTGCTTTGAGCAGGGGGTTGGACTAGATGACCTTCTGGGGTCCCTTCCAACCCTTATATTCTATGATTCTATGATTCTAAACACCTTTTGAGGATCTGGAACTCCATGATTAAGGCCTCAATCCTACAAGGAGCTCCAGGTGGGTATAGGAATTTTCTTTCTCAGAGTCCATTACAGCATTAGGGCTAACTATAAACTAAGACCCTGATCCTGAGTTCCATGCAGGCAGGCCCTTGTGGTGACCTTTTGAAGTCTATACAGAATTGGGGCTTTAAATGCCATCAGATGGCAATACTGATAAGCATTACTTTTAAACTATTGTATATACAACATTTTCAGACCAATTGATTTTTTCATATTGACTGTGTCCCTTTAAAATACAAAATAAAGTTTGTTCATTAATATTCACTCCCACAGCACCAGGTTTTTTACATTGTTTCTTTAAACACTTGTTTAAAGGTAAAACACTATTTAAATATTAAGATTTAAATAACATTAAACCAGGATAAAGCCATTTAGAAACTGGTTTATAATTAATTAACCCTGTGACCAATACTGTCTGTGTTGCACATTATGGGCCCTATGCTTCAAGCCCCTTAGTCACATAATTAGCCCCATTCAGGTCAATAGGATTACTTGTGTGAGGACCACTAACATGAGCAAGAGGCACTTCAGTCAATTCAGTACAGTAAAGAGTGCTGTTCAGATATCCAGTGTGGACCTGACCCTTTGAAGAGCTGAATACTTATGACTCCCAGGTACTCCCCACTTCTCAGGATTGAGAACTCTGGGTCAACTACTGCAACCCTTGCACAAGTAATGCCATTGACTTCAGGGGGACTGCTCACATGAGTAAGAGTTGCAGGCTCAAGCCTTTTATTTTCAATTCTACTTCACACTTTAGTTTCTTACCCTTTGAACTTTCAGAGCAGCTGGCCTAAACCAAAACAGTTACAGATTTCCTTTAACTAATCAACTAATTTAGGGTTTGATCCTACAAGGTGCTGAGCACACTGGCCCCAATCCAGCAAAGCACTCAAGTATCTCCTTAACAGGAACCTCAGTGGGATTACTTGTGCTTAAAAATACACACATGCTGAAGTGTTTTGCTGGATCAGAACCAGCATGCTCAGCACCTCAGAATCAAGCCCTTAATGTTCATGATTATTTTTTGACTTTCAAAAAAGGAGTTTCAAATATCTTCCTTCATTAAAATCTGAAAGCATCTTAAAAGGATAAGCTATCGAAGCTGGATGGATCTCTTGTATGTAATTCACAAAAGAAGATGTTGAAGGCAAGACTTTATCAAGGCAGAAAAGCTGAATGAACTATTATCTGTGACTTTGCATACTGTATCATTTAATAAGAATTGAAAGCAGCCCATTGCAATGATGTTTCTACATTCTGAAATTCAGGAGTCATATTTAACCTTTTCTTCTCCCTCCCAATTAATTTTCTGTAGCAGAGGATAGGAAATGTTTTCCTCATCTTGGTCTAATCTTCTGTAATTTGGGTCCGGTCCCTCTGTTCAAAATCCATAAGCCAAATGGGGAAACTGTGAATGCAGAAATATTTCTGTAACATAACATCTTACTCAAAAAAAATCAAAAGCTATATAAAACAATGTTAAAATATATTCTAGCCGTCTGTCTTTAGGATCCAGATTCAGGAAAGCATTTTTATTCCAGACAGCATTTAAGCACATGCTTAAAGTTGGTCATATGTTTAGGTGCTGTCCTGAATAGGGATTCATTTAAGCATATGCTTAAGAGCTTTTCTTATTTAATACCAAACGCATATAGGAGCTGACCCTGCTCTCACTGAACTCTGTGGGAGTTCTGCACATAAGCAAAGGTTAGGATTTTCAAAGCCACCTAGGCTATTTGGACACCCAGTTTCCTTTGGAACTTCAAAATTCTATCCAAAGTCGGTATATATTTATACTGTCCAGTCTCAAAATGGTTAATCTGTTTAGACCAGGACATTCGAGAACTATCATGAAATATGGTTAATCTTTGTATTATTTTAGCACCTAGAAATCCATTCCAAGATCAGGGCTTCATGGTGGCATAGGCTGTGTACACACACACGTACACACACACACTTAACTTTAAATTGAAACTTACCTCCCAATAAGCTTGGTCATCAAAGTACTTTGATGCAGGCAGTGTCTTCCATCGTTTGAAAGTTAAAATGAAACCTGTGTTTAAAAATGAGATGTGGATGGAAGGAGCTGTTTGTAAATATTATATTTATTAGCCACATACCACAATATAATGCAGAGCTAAATATGAAATCAGAATCACAGCCATGCCCCCCACAAATCTTTCCGCAGGGGTGAATGTCAGATAAAAATAATACCACTTGTCTTATTTTTAAACGTTTTTGAACCCCTTTATGGTGCTAATTACTAGACTAAAATATATTGGCAAAATAGAATGATCTGGATTGTCCTCCAGCCTTGCTGCTGTCTCTAATATGTATAATGGGCCTAACCAAAACCTTGGGTTGAAAACCAACCCACAAACTTTGGAGATACTCAGGTCTGGATTTGAATATGGGGTTCATGTGCATCTCTATACATGACATACCTGGTTTAGAATAATTTGATACACAATTCCAAACAATCTAGAAAAGATTTCCTAATCCTGTAAAAATTATTGTAAAACGTTCCCCGAATATTTTTTGCTCTTTAGCACATGGAGGTGAGGCAATGTTCCTCACAAGCAATATATTTGATTCTAAATCCATCATGCAGCATTGTGGTTCAGCCAGCAGATGCTTTAGAATTGACATAATTTAGGGAGAAAACCATGTTTCCAGAAAAGCCAGCTATTATTTTCTCTCTGGACTTCCAGGATTACCTGGACCCTTCCCCAGCCTTCAGTCATCTTCAAACAGTGAACGCATGAGATCCAAAGCATGTAAAAAGCATGTAAAAATGTCTTAGGTCCCGATCCTGCATGCTGATTAATCTGGGCCAACCCTATAAATGCTGAGCCCCTTTGAATTTCAGGCGGCCTCCATGTGGGCAAAAGATTCTGCCTGCAGGAGTGAGGCCTTAATTATTAAAAATTAACACTTATGTTTTAAAGCCAAGTGAACGGCCTGCCAGATTTTCCAGATAAACTAAATGATCATTAACTTTTCATATGAAAAAGCTACCCAGACACATTAAGCAAACAGGCTTATGAGCACTGTTAACTTGAGATTTCAGATGTAAACACCCAGCTCATTAAATGATTGGATCAACACAGAACGTTTGTTTATTTTTGCTGTTTATTTTTTTCCATATCTTTCAGTCAGATGAAGTAGATACTTAAAAGTCTGCTTGATGAGCCCAACCTCTTAATTCCATTTGAGCAAGCACAGGGGTTACATATTCATTATAAGCTGTAACATTCATTTTAGAGAACGGTATTGCAGTTTCTTTCACTGAACTGAAGCACGAGCAAATAGCGGTATAAAATATTGCAACTGCCATAATCTCACCAGAGAGAGAATCCAAGATCTAGAACCAGATGACTAGATCCTCAACTGGTGTAAAATCTACCATTGCCTTCAGGGGAGCTATGCTGATTTACAGCAGCTGAGGATCTTACCCAGTGAGTGGAAAACAGTCTCAATATATTTTTACTGTCACTAAAAAGATGTCCATCCTGTCCTTTCTCCTATGGGAAACCTAGAGGCTGCCGGTGAAGCATCAGTTAAAAATAACTTTGTCAAGCATAGGAATGATGGTATTGTTTTGGCCCTGCTGAACATACCCTTTTCTCCAGTTCTGCAACTGAAAGAAGCCTCATCACTCAGTATTACCTACAGCTTTTCCAACAGTAGCAAGTCATCTACCTACAGGTATATTTTTAGTGCATGAATCACCAGAGTATCTAGGTGCCAAGAGATGCAATAAGCCAGTGAACACTGACGTGACAGCTGATGTAATATAATCGCATACCACCTACTCTTAAAAAGATCAGAACGAAGCTATTGCAAAGAGCTTTCCCATACTGACCTGTAATGAAACCTGTTCCCAAACCTATAGCAGTGGTCAACATGAAAGAGCCAACTTCAATCAAGGCTAGATAACCCAGTCTGAAAATGAAAAATGCGTACATTAGAGTGCAGAATTTGACCCATGTACAGCTCCAATCCTATAATCTGATCTACCCACACAGCGTCCTAAAGAAGTCAGTGGACTCTGAAGGAATAAAGGTTTGTCTGACTGGATCAACTGTGGATCAGATATAAAAGAGCTACTGGGACATTTAGTCCTTCCCTCACTCCCCCTGCTAGTGCAAAATGGTCCATCAAGTACATTCTCCAGGACTCTGTCCTGTCTAGTTTTACCCTGAATTGGCACACTCTCCTCTGATGTGGGTCTACTACGCTGCAGTCAGAGCCTGATCCTGAGAGGTGTTGAGCACCCACATATATGTATTACCTATTTAAAAAATAGTTTGCCTGTTACTGCCAGTTTTTATATGTAAGATTCCCTGACACACGCAGGGTCAATCAAAAGTCACCATTTGGAAGGATCCACATCACCTGAACCCTCAGAACCTCTTCAATGGCTTCCTGTCTTTATCATCAATTCAAAGCTGCTCACGGCTCACCTTCAGATCCCAGTTCAGTCTCACTCCCACTTAATCTCTGCTCTCATTTCCGCCATCTCACATGGCTGCTCCCACAATGCTGTCTACGTCACCCCCCTAGCAATCCAACACTAAAAATTAATTTTTGAGGGCCTGATCCAAAGCCCACTGAAGTCAATGAGAGCCTTTCCATTGACTTTAAAGGGCTTTAGATCTGATTCTTGATTGTTATTAAGGGGATTAATCTGCAGTGGCCATGCAAAGCTACCTGCATACTGCACGTGTGTTCTAAAACTGAGTTCTAGCACAATATATTAATGATTGGCTGACCACGATACTTATTTAAAAGAATCAACCTACGTTGATAAACTGGCCCACTTGATTATTATGAAGAGAATGACATTGACTATCGCTCCAAGCAATCCAGGCAACCCAAACGTGTAATGGACGCCACAGGTGTCATGAATCTTGAGCACCGAATTCAAATATGTCTGGGGAGGGAAACATTTAATAAATACAGAGATGAACATATTTACTGAGCAGAAAAGTTCTTCAGGCACGCATCCCAAAATAGAATGCAAGTCTCCTCACCCTCAGTCCCACATACCAGGCAACAGAACCCAGAAATCTTGGCTGTAAACTCTCTACATGTGCTATTTCTTAGTATTTAAAACCTCTCACAAATATGTATGACAGGGTTTTGGACATTACCTGTAAACAGTGAGATCCCAGTACAGCGACCATGCTGGCAAGCAGACCCAAAATCATGGCAATCCAAGGATGTGGAATAACGGGAGCTGAGAAACCAAGAGCAACCCCTCCTGCTAGTGCTGCATGGTGGATGTGGATCTGTGGATTAACATCACCGAAGTCAATTCACACTCACAGTGATTGGGCACCCATTGGATTAAATTCACCCTGCTGCAGCACCACACCTAAGTACCACTTAAACCTATTTTGAGGGCTTAAGTGGGATCTAATTGGAGTATAACTGGCCCTCTACATAGGGGGTGAATTTCACCCTTGCAGCACTATAGCCAGTTAACATCTTCAAAACTGTTTGCTCAGGGACAAGAGATAATCATCCCGTTGAGGTGCTAGTGTTGTTTTAGCTTATTAGCCATTTTACTTCCAATGTATTGCTAAAGAGATTAACGAAAATCTAGGTCTCTCTTCAAAGCGACCTTTGCTCTCCTCTTACCATCCTGATTTTTCCATTCCTGCTGCTCAAGGATGACAGTGCAAAAGCAGCCACAGCACTCACAGCGATGGCATAGTAAGTGTTGCAGATGGCGTTCCTCTTTTCCATCACATCCACGATTAGCACAGAGTTGAAGCTTGGCCAGAACATCCACAGAAAGAGCGTGCCTTGTAGACAAAGAAGCAGTCATCATTAGAATGCTCGTAAATCCAGTGGGTCCATCCCATGCTGTTTCTGCTGGCAGGTTCTAAGTCACACAGAGTGCATCCATTGCAATGCCCACATTGTGAACAAGCTGATGGGACTGCATCATTCTGACAGCCCCTAACGGTCACTACATTTGGAGCCTCCCCAGCAGTCCTGCACTGCACATCTCAACAGTAACCATGGTATAAACATGCACCCAGAAGGGTGACTTAGCTGGGAAGGGCCTGATCCTTCAAAGAGCCAAGAGCCTCCTGAGAAAAGCTGAGGGCCCTCAATGCAGGAGATGCTCATCATCTTTCATGGTCAGGTCCTTAAGCATCAGCTTTGCAATACCTGTGCTCCCTGGAAACACAGATTCAAATCTCAATGGGCACGACTCTGCCTTTCATCCCTAAGAAATATTTTTGTGCAGCAGGCAATTTACTGTGCGTGATCCTTTCAGACGAGACCTTTAAAACCAACACCCTGTCTGCTTTGCATGGGCATTAGGGGCCTGGTTTCTGAAGTACACAGTAACCACAACTACAGTGGGAGCATTCAGCACCTCTGAACATGAGGCCCGAAAGGGTCCAGGGCCTTTGCTGAAACAGCAGGGATTTGCACTGATGTCCTTGGCCAAAATCTCCCACATCCTCTTACTGTTGTACCGCGTGCTGGTCACACAGCTGATGTGGTACTGACCAAAATAAAAAACATGGCTATGTTCAGAATGTCTTCCATTTAGGGGTATCAAAACACCAGCACAACTGATACTAGCTGGCTCCCTTCCTGACAGATTCAGCAGAAATGCTGAGAACTACCTGAACCATGGAGCGTGAACTCCCCTCTCACCTCAGTGGTGGTTCTTCCAGGGTAGCACAGAGAAGCTTGCACTTCTGGTGTCATGCTTTGCCTGCTTGGTGGCTAAATGGGGTTTGTCTTGTTTTAAATAAAAGACTTTTTTTTTTTTAATATTCCACCACCCTAGTAAGTGGATCTAGTAGAGCAATTAGAATTCCTGTTAAACAGTTGGGCCATATCCTGTAAAAAGTCCAGGGCCACATAGACTTTTCAGTAAATAGTGAGGCTAGACGTTGGGTCCTTCTGCTCCAATAAACTACTCCTGCGGGAATTCTGTGCTGGTGCGCAATGCAGAATTTGCACAGAATTAATGTTTCCCATAGAATTTTATTTTTTTCCCTGCAGAATTTCTGATTTCCCCCAGCACTCCTGCCGACGCCTGGCATGGGCAGCTGGGGCTCCCACTGTCAGCCCCGGGCAGCTGGGACTGTCAGTGGGAGCATGATTATATTGTGCCATTTTGACAGAATATGCTGAATGTTGCAGAATTTTCAAATATTGTGTGCAAGATTTTTAAATTTTAGTGCAGAATTCCCCCAGGAGTAAATAACACAGGCCCCAATCACCAGCAAATAGGGTTCTTACCCTCTTGGGCCAGCCCCACCAGAGGACAACATAACCTCTCTCTCATACACATGTGGATCTGAATCCATCCAGCAGAGAGCAGCAGGTGCATTCACACTAGTTTATATACTGATCATTTCAGGGCACAGCTTTGCTCCCAGGAGTTTTGTATCTATGCTGGACTATTTAGGGATATAGGCTGTATTAAAGATAAGCTATGATTTATCTTCTCTTCCCCCACCTCTACTGCAGAGGGGACACCGAGGCAGACTCGATAATTAATGTTCTACTGTGTGCTTGAATTTCAGAGACTTAATTCCACATGCTATTCACCTCATAGCAAAACTTCAAGTGCTCTCATTAAAATGAATAACTAAAACACGCAGGTTTCCAGGGTGCAGTATGTCACTATAAAAACACACTGGTTAGTCTCTGCTCCCAGCAACACTGACCGCGGTCACCTTTCCATGAGCTTGGGTCTCCAGTGCTTAGGCTCTTTCAAGTCCCTAGATGCTTCTGCTGCTCACTTTAGGCCCTCCTGCCTGTTGAATGTCTAGTGCACACAGAGGATTTCAGGCACAGTGACCTTGATATGCTCTGAAAAACTAACAGGCTTCCCAACAAAGTGATATTATCTGGGCAGATCATGTTCCAAGCTGATTCTTTTCCATAAGCGCAGTATAATTTCCATTTGGCATATCCCTGCGGAAACTGACATAAGCTGCACTTATCACTGAGTTCATCCCTACTGAGACCTCCTTGTCTATTCTACTCTGTATAGTCAGGACATATTTCTTTCATTTTCTTTAGCACGGCTGTCAGTTGCAGGATGACTTTTTGCCCTTAATCTTGAGCCCTGGAACCTTCCCCTTGTACAAGCAGCAAGGCAGATGATGGTTGCAGTTTGTTACAGTCTGTGCTTTGAGCACATCCCTAAAAACACATTTGGGACGCTGTCAATCACCCACTGGTAACTAATACTTGTAGTCAAGTGGATGCCTTATTTTATCTCACATCCCAGTACTCTATTTCTCTGAGATGACAGGTGCTGGGGCACTTACAATCTGCTGCAGCCTGCATGCAGAAGACTGGCAAGATTATCTCTGAAGTGAAGTCAGCAGAGACTAGGCAACAGTATCACCCTTATGCCCAAGAAATAACTAGAGTCTTGCTCAAGGTTGCTGTTGGATATTCTGCGTCCAAAAGGTGCCAAGTTCCCCCGTCCCAACTATTTATCCCCTCTCCTCCTCCTCTCATTCCCTCCCTCCTCCCATGTGTATCTTTCCCCCTTCTCACTTTTGTTCTCCAGGCAACAGTAAATATTGTAAATGTTTAGAGGGCTCTTATGCGCTCAAGGCTGCCCTCTCTGTTCTCCCCATGCCACTCTAGGTGGCAATACTCATAATTTACCTGTGGAACTCACACTGCAGGAGATTGGTTAATATTTCTACAGTGCTTTGAAAACAAAGTGCTGTATTATTACAGAATCAAACCACGTGTGTGAAATTCACCCTGGTGCAGCATACAACCTACAATGTTTATGTCCCAGTTAAGCTCTATTTTGAAATCTTAAGTGAAACTTATGTGGTGTACAGGTCTTGTGCAGGGTTGAATTTCATTCATATATGAATAAGAATCATATCTGCAGATACATTGACAAGGAAAAAGATTATCAGTCTTCAAGCTTCAGGGTAAAATTAACCACCAGCTGGGGCTCAGGAAGAAAAACATCCTTTTCCAGCACGGCACAATGTTGTACAATAGGAAGTTTTACATCTTCCTCAGAAGGATCTAGCACTGGTCACTGTCATAGCCAAGATACAGGACTAGAGGTCCCACTAGTATTCCCCACTATGGCACTTCATGGTCTATGGCAGGAGGGGGGCTGGAAAGAAGGATCCAGATTGCAAATCCCTTATTCCCACTGGCAAAGTAGTTAATCCCAGTAACTGCAATGAGGCTATTCTAATGAATTACAAGTGTTCATAATCTGGCCCTGAATTTCTGAGGGGACCCAGGCACTGGGTAGGTTTGGACACATTATGAAATTGCTTGTTTGGTCATTCATGAGCGTCTGCACTGCCTCTGTGTTGCTTTCAGGAATTATTCATGAAGACCTAATTACTTTAGATAGCGAGCACTTGGGGGTAGCGAGCTGGCACTAAAATTATAATGAAGACTTAACAGTGTCTTGATGAGTTAGATTAAAATACCAATTGCTTTGAATTATACAGCAGAGCAAGAGCTCTGGGAACTCAGCAAGACGAGCATTTAATTTTTCCCTTTTTTACATTGGGTGAAGGCTGCCAGGTTTCATTAGACATGTGCCAATGAGCCCTGGTGAGGTTCCAGCAAACACCCAGAATCAGCCCCTCCCACTGACAGCAGATCTCGGGATGTACAGCCAAAAGTAGCAAGGCGAGTGAGCGCTATAACCAGTGCCCTCTACTAGGATGAGAGGGGACATTCGGCATAGATCATTCACTCCATTCGGGCAGAACATAGCTCCTAATAAAGGACTCGAGCGCTCACATGCCACAGTGATAGGTTAGATAAGTATTCACTTGATTTTAGCCACAGAAATCCATGCCTCTATTTCGATGTCATTTCTTTTAAATATTACATTAATTCAGTGCTGGCACAAAGTGCCAAATTGACAGACCTGGGAACTTACATTCTCTGTGGAGACAAGGGCCTAGGACAGATCATGGCAGTACCAGCTTTGTAATATAAATCAAAATAATATGGAAACAAGTATCATTTCTTTAAAAAAAATGAAAAAAAAAACTTGGAATGTCCATGCCACAGCCTATCCTTACCCTGAGTGTTTTGCATGTGATATGTATCTTCACCCCCACCCTTTATCTGCTTGTTCTCTTTTGATTCTTGTCTTTGTAAGCGTTTATACAGCACCTAGGACAATGCGGCCTTGATCCTGCTTGGGGCCTCTGGGCCCTACAGCAATACAAATATTAATGACGACACTGCCCCTGCCAATATGGGTAAATCAGTGCAAAGGGGCCACCTGTAGCGGTGAGAGGACAGTTTACCTGCCTTGGCCGTCCTGCTGCGTCTGTCAAGAAGGGACGCTGCAGTGGTGGTTTACATGAGGAGCGGAGACTCACCCACTCGTTACCATCGGACGGTAACAACTTTTAGTCACTGGGCTGTATTTGAACCTTCAGCTTTGCAGTAAAAGATTCTATGCCCCATTCCCAATCCCCAAAGTCATTCATCCCACTGCCCACCATAGACTGAGATGTTCAAGTAAATGCCTTACCCAGCATTGAAAACAAATCAGATATCGGATTAGATGTTTCCTTTTCAATCCTTTTACTCAGTGAAGAATGGTACAGCCACCAGGAGACTGCCAAGCCAAAGTAGGTTCCAAATATGTGAACGTGCATCAAGCTTGTGTGTTCCTCAATCTGCAGGCAACAAAGATATTCCATTCCTGGATGTCATATCCATTCAGGATGTCATCAGGTCCCCTTGATGTATGCAGAGTCTTGTAGCTCAGTTACTTATATAGTGTCCTTCTTAGGCACCCTCTCCTATATAATGTTCATGAGCACTCAGTGCACACGCTACTTTTTGCGGCTCAGAAAAAGACAGGGTCCCTGCTCCAAGGAACCTGCAGTCTAATTCAGACAAATAAAGTACACTGGTACCAGTTCTAGTGCAAGGAGATGTGTAGATACCCTCAGGCTGGAGAAATGCTTCCCAGAAGAAGTTGGTTTGAAGGAAGAAGGGCCTGGTGGATGGGGTGTAGAAGGCTGCTCCAAGCATGGTGGGCAGCATGAATGAGGGAGCAAAGGGGACAATTTGTTATTATGATTGCTATTATTTATTCAATGGGTGAAGGAACCAAAGGGAGGGCTAGGCAGGAACCTACAGTGGGAGTAAGAAGGGGCCACGTGTAAGTTGGGGCAGAGCCTGAAGGGGAGGACAAGAAGGGGGGAGGGATAGCTCAGTGGTTTGAGCACTGGCCTGCTAAACCCAGGGTTGTGAATTCAATCCTTAAGGGGGCCATTCAGGGATATGGGGCAAAAATTGGGGATTGGTCCTGCTTTGAGCAGGGGGTTGGACTAGATGACCTCCTGAGGTCCCTTCCAACCCTGAGATTCTAGGATTCTAGGATTCTAAGTTTTAACTTAATGCAAAAGGAAAGAAGCCACTGAAGAGACTGGAAGAAGATGTGATCAGAGCAGCAGGAAAGGAAGCAGTAGCATGTTGGCTGGGATAGAGAGGAGAAGAGGTGAGGTGCAGCAGGCCAGAGAGAAGGTGCTGTAAACAGAGTGACACACAAGTAGAATCCCCAGCCACGTAGCCCTTCCATGTGCAAAACTCCCATTCGTTTCAGTGGCAGCTACATGCATGCAGTAAACTGCCCGATCAGGCCCAGAGCGAACCAGCTTAGATCTGACTATCAGTAATAGCGTCAATATCAGACCAGCAAACAGGGAACATTTCCAAAGGAAAACAAAGGTTTGTTTAAAACCTCCAAAGCCTTTTCCCGCATATATGGAAATGTGGTTACCTACCTTCAGGAATCTGACATTGATCCATCTGCTCGTACTGAAAGCTGCCACCTCCACCATCGCCATCCAAATCAACTGAATAGGGTTAGCCTTGCCCAGAAGAGCTCCAGCTGAGATTAGAACAGCAGTTACACTTATAGTGGCCTTTAATACACTTTAAAAAAAAAAAAGGGGGGGGGGGGGAGTTAATTGCGAAACTGATTGAATCAAAAAATAAAAGAGTCATTAGTAGTCAGCACTGGTCCAGACACTCATTATGGAGTTTTCATGCTTGTGAGGTAGATCCCCATTTCACAGTTGGGTGAACCAAGACGCAGAGATTTAAAGGCAGCATTTTCAAAAGTGGCCTCCCATTTGGGGTGCCAACAGGAGATACTTTGGGCCCCAATTTTCAAAAGTACAGAGCACACACAACTCTGACTGAAGTCAACAGAAGTCGCAGGTGCTCAGCACTATTGACCGCCAACCCCAAGGTGCCTCAAGCTGAACTGAGATGCCCTAAATCGGAAGTCACTTTTGGAAAATGTGGCCTCAGTAACTTGTTGAAAGCCACAGAGGGAGCTAATGTCAGAGCTAGGATTGGGGCTCTGGGATTTCTGGCTCCCCGTCCTGAGACCCAACCACTAGATCAAACCGGTCTCGCTGCACAAGGCATTCTGAGCTTCCCACAGCCCTCACACAGAATGATTCCTTTCCCTTTCCCCACTTCGCAAAAGGCTGTCCACCATTTTTTCCTCCTTGCAGTTTTTAATCAAGGAAACAAGGGATGTTAATGACTCAGACACGCTGTAATTTATAGATGTGTTCTGGGCTGTTCTTGACCTTTACAGTATTCTGGAATTTCAATTAGCTGCTTCTCCTGCCTCTTGATGAGAAAGAACATGCTGAAAATCCTAAAAATTGTCCCTGCGAAGGTAAAGATTTTGTCTTACTTCTGATAGGAAACAGATCTAAGAGCATATTACTCTGCAGCTGCAGACAGTTTTCTTGTGTGTGCAGCATGCACAGCTGGGACAGGAGATTTTTATTTAAGGAAACATAGTGCTTCTGAAAGGTTCTGGCCTGAGAGCTGTGGAGATCAGACTCTGTCTATCAATCCAGTTGCTCTCACATCGCCCTGCCAATGTATCTTAACCCTGACCAGAAGAGGTCACCTGTAGGGGCAAAGCGGAGTTCTGTCTCTGTGGTCTTGGTCTCTTTTTTCTTCACTCTAATTAGCTTGAATTTCTAAATGAAAAAAGTCATTTCAGACCGAAAACCTGGAATTTTAAAATGTTGATGATTTAGGAAAAAAGATTCCAACATTTTTTCAGTCAGAAAATTCATCCAACTTAGCCCTGTTTTGCAAAGAGCTTTGTTTTTGACAAATCTGCATTTTTCACACACCAAAACCCCCAAAATTGTTGAAAAATTCCCCACCAGCCTAGCACTTCAGGGTTCCTTATCTTGTGAGCCAATCCCCTGAGCCATCCACATGAGTCTTGTGATGACACCTTTTGGCCAACTTTCTGCAAGATCTTCCAGCAGGTCACAGCCCGCAAAATCCCACCTTTAGTTAGCGTCCGTCAGAAACTCTTGCTGTACTGCCACAGTAGTTATTGCTACATATCTAACGATGGGGCAGTAATTTACTCAGCAAAGCCAAAAATCAAGAGGAAGGCATTGAGCAAATGAGAACAGTTAGGAAAGGTCTCAGCTGTTTGTTGCGCTGCTCCCAAGGCCTTCACATTTTTAGAGACACAGAACAAAATCATTAGGGCCATAAATGAGAGAACAAGAAATTCATATATGACAAGAACACCTAAAGGCATTTAAAAAGCAGAATGAAGGTGGTGATTTACCTCTGATAGCCTAACAACTGCAGCAGCAGCAGAAGGAAAACATTTATGCTTGCCTCTTCTACAGCACATTCCATCCTAAGACCTCAAAGCATTTTACAAACATTCATGAATTAAACCTCCCAACTGAGTTGGGTATAGATGGGGAAACTGAGGTGCAGGGGGGTAAATGACTTGCTCGGGATCACACAGAACGGTTGGGGCAGAAATGGGGATGAACCACAAATCTCCTGACTCCCAATTGGGTGACTCAGGCACGAAACCATTCCTTTCCTGTCTAGGAAAGAGGGAAGGAGGAAGAGAGGGAGCTACCTGTAGTTCCATAGTTATACTACCCAATCAGTACCAGTTAGTAACTGATATTTTGCTTGTACCCTGGCCATGTGTTGTGACTGCCAATGGAGTCTTCTTACACTTAAAAGTAGATGAGATGTTGGAACTGTAAATGCCTTTGTGTAAACAGCAGTGGTATTCTGTCACGGACCAATGCTCTGGAATATTCCATATGAAGCCAGCCAGGACTCTGGGGGAGCCTCCTCTCTCTGAGTATATGGTCTCCAGGGCAAGAAGCTTACATAGCTCCGACCTTCCTGGGTCGGACCTCAGAGCATTCAGCATCCCCTGCCCCACCACGCGCTTCTCGCAGTGAGTCTGCCTGGGCGAGGCTCCTAGGGAAGCCAGAGGGCCCTGCCCCCCAACTCCAGTCAGATGTGACTCTCAGTCAGCCGGTAAGACAGAAAGTTTATTAGTCAACAGGAACACAGCGTAGGCAGAACTTGTTAGCACAGAAATCAGTGACTTTCAGCCAAGTCCATCTTGGGGGGAGGGGAGACCAGAGCCAGGGCTCTGGTCCTCCCCCTGAGCCCCAAGCCAGCAGAGACTGACTCGCTTCCAGCTGCCTGGCCTCTGCCCTGCCCATTGTTCCTTCTCCAGCCTTTGTCTCACTTCCCGGGCCAAGAGTCACCTGGTCACATCCCCCTCCTGGGTCTCAGGTTACGAAGGGGCGACCATAGCATCCATGGAGGCAGCTGGAGCAGCCCCCAGAAAAGTCACACATGCTTATTCCCACTACCTAGACATTGGTGCAATACGCAGGGAAACTGAGGCACACACAGCATTCATTGAAAACAGTAAGACTCAAATACAACATAAGAGAAAATCCCAGCTTCGTCACATACTCCATAATTCAATCAATGTTTGATAACTAGCTAATGGATAAAGGGTTTTCTTTTGTTTGGGGGAGGGTGAGGAAAAGGTAGAGGATATCCATCAAGAAAAGAGCAGAGGTCATGAATTCTAAGACCATTAACAACATATGTAGCTACAACAGTGATATACAGTTAGTAAACACCATGTCTCATGATATAAGATGATCTCCTCAAGGAACTGGAAGGATTATTTCCCTTGAATGTACAGTGTGCAGTATGATGATATTGGCCACTGCTAGAAGTAAGACAGTGGAGTATAGGACAAGCTGTGTGATTGCTTATGGGTAGGACAGGAAGTAGGATATCAGGCCAGATGGACCAGTGGATTTGATGCAATCACTCTGTGCTTCAGTTCCCCATACATAAAATGGGGATACGGCCACACCTCTCTACCTCACAGGGGTGTGTGAGGGTAAAGACTCTGAGGCACTCAGGTACTATGGTAATGGGGCCATAGAAGGAAAGTAATTAGATCAGTAGATGGCAAAATTCAGTTAAAATTACAAAGCCAACAATGCAATAACAAAAAGTCCTGCCAGTACAACTGCGCTGCTGGGTAAATATACCAAAAAACAGGGAAAAGTTACCTTAGCCCCAGCGTTCAGAAATGCTACATTAAGAGTAAATGATCCATTCTAGGATGTATGAATTACCTGTGCAGGCCGATTTTCACTTTTCCTGCTGAGGAAGCAAACAAAAATCCTTCCACGAGCACAGCCCACTGAACTCCAAGTGTGGCAATTAGCAGGTTGAATCCAATGCTGCTAAATCCATATCTTTTGAAGGAAGCCAGGAGGAAGCCAAATCCAAAAATCACCAGGACGTTGACATCTTGAAATGCTGTATGGCAGAGGAACCAAGAAATCAGTCAAGTTATCAGTGCAGACCAGACTCCAGGTTAACATCACAGCAGTGATCAATAAACCTGCTGAAAATTAATAACTGTCTCAGAGTAATCCTCATACATTCTGGTGGAAAAGGAGGGTGGTGCAAGACCATGCTGGACTGAAGGGTGGAGGAGAGACCATAAAGTTGGGACAGGAAAGGAGATATAACACAGTGCATTTCAAGAGCACTATTTATCAGGGGGCAAAGCCTTTTATATTAATCCATACTGCCCCCCACCCTCTGTGAGGGAGGATTTATTATCCTAATTTCCAAGATGAGGTGAGGCACAAGAGGGTTTAGTGTCTAGCCCAAGATCAGAAGAGCTGGGAACAGAGGTTGGGCAGTAGTACAGTCTAGACAATGAGGCACTGGACTGGGACTCTGGAGTTCTGGGTTTTACTCCTGACTCTGTCTTTGACCTGCTGTGTGACCTTAGGCTTCCACTTCCTCATTTTGTGCCCATTTCCCCTCCAATCTTCTCTCTGTCTTCTCTATTTAGATTGCAAACTAAGTGTTACAAAAATGTGAACATGTTTATAAGCACAATGAAAGACAGAGGCAATAATATGTTTATGAGAGCACTGGTGATTGCTTTAAAATGATCCCTTGCAGTCAGTCAGTAAAAACAAAAGACCCCATTCTGTTCTCCGTTACACCAAACCAAAATGAGCAGGATTGGCACAGAAGTAACGGAAAACCAATTTCAGCCGAGATCTGTAGAGAGTCTTGTCTTGCTTCATTTTAAAAACACTGACACCCTCCTTTTCAAAGTGGGCCACTAGCCCTATTTTCACCGTTACAGGAGGAGTGCTGTATTTGAGATAATATTTAGCTAAGCAGAACTGCTCTCTACGGCAACTCTGTCTGCTAAGAAATGTTTCTTTGTAACAGAGTCCCCTTATCAAGGCACAGGCAGCGTCTCTGCTCCTTGTTGATTTTAAACCCCACCTTACACATTCACACACCAACTACACACACCCAGCCTCCTATGTCTTGCCTGAAACATCTCAAGCCTGTTTTATGATGTACAAATTCAAAGCGACTATTAAAAGGGGCCAAACGTATTATGCCATAGAGTTTGTAATATACTGGTGAAACGTCCTCACAAAAAGATCTGAAACCCTTGATGACACTTACACATGAGTAGTTTCATCAAAGCCCCTGGGACTACTCCCAATGCATCGAGTTACTCAGACACAAAATGTTTGCTGCATCAGGCCTTAAATTGCTCTTTCCCAAGGCCGGTAGCCCCAACATGTGTGTTAATAGGTATATTCTTATGTCAACGTGCAGGTTTCTACGCTTCATAGCGAGGATTAAAGCAAATGATTGTGGGGGGCGGGGAGGGGAATGCAAGTTTGTGGCTTTTGAGTAATTCACATACAAAATATTAAATGAACCCAACTCAGTGCATGACCATGGGCAAGTCACATCCCCTTTCTGCATTTCAGTTTTTCCCCATCTGTAAAATGGGAGTAAGAGAGACTTACCTACCTACCTTACAAGGGTCATGAGGATTAATTGGTTAATATTTGCACAGCACTTTAGACAGGTTACACGCGGTATATGTTTTATCTTAATTGTTAATATATATCTTCAGTAAATGTAGAAAACACATTTCTCAGATGCAGGATTGTGTGCAAAAGATTCAATACTTACAACATAGAAGCAAAGTTTGGTACCATAAGACAATCACCAGCATATTATTAAATAAGAAAAAGGGCTACTTTTGCCTGCCAGTACACATTTGATGATAAATATAAGGCCTAATACAGAGCCCACTATTTAATAGTTTCACCTAGGAAGGGGCTAGGGTGGCCAGATAGCAAGTGTAAAAAATTGGGACAGGGGTGGGGGGTAACAGGTGTCTATATAAGAAAAGGCCCCCAAAATCAGGATTGTCCCTATAAAATCGGGACATCTGGTCACCCTAGAAGGGACAGAAACCAAGACCCAGCTCAGAACAGCCCAAGATCCTTGGGGAAGGTTGGATTCAGGTTCTGAACTTCACTGCTCAGACTCGCCCTAATGTTATCCATTCCCACTAGCTGTCACACCCTTTCAGTCCTTAAGCTTGATTCTTTGTGGCCCTGCACATTGTGCATTCACTTGCACCAGGCTTTCATCCATCCTGATTATTTTGTATTATCACAGTTTCAAGATCCCCAGTCTTGGACCTGAACCCATTGTGCTAGGCACTGTACTAACACAGAACAAGATGGTCTTTCCCCCACAAAGAGCTTACAATGTACGTATAAAATGAGAGACAACAGGTGGATACAGAACAGTGAGGGAGCACAAGAACACAATTTAGTAGTATTTGACACCCACTTTGGCCTGGTGCAAATGACTGCAGAAGGTGCAAGGCAACAGAGTATGTAAAGGGAAGTACCCACACTGTATTTGCAGTTACAGCTGTCAGAAGTACAGCCCTGTTCAAGCTCAAATGTAACCCAATGAAAGCACACACTGAACCCTACCTTTAACAACAGGCTTGCAAACTTACCAGGATAGATTTCAAGGTCTTCTGATGTGCTTTGACTTTCCTTTGAAAAGCAAAACCAAAATATGAGGATAAAGGCAGTTTCCAAAAAGAGTATGAGCCCAGGGAGACCACATCGGAGACTGGGAGGATAGTCAGAACCCATTGTACGTTAGCTCTGGTGTTAAAAACACACATGAATATTTTTCTTCTATAAAAACGTTCCACCAACCTCAAACCAACAGAAGGTGGGAGGTGAGGAGGGAATAAAAGCTTTGATGTGATAAGAAAGCCCAAGAGGCGTTAGCAAGGAATAGCTCCTTATCTAAGGCAGGTCAGGAGTGCAAGCCCGCAGCAACGAACATTGGTTGACTCAAGTAGATCTGTGACGTTCAAGAGTATGTACATTTAAATGGTAAAATTCTGATGTGTCAGAGCCATCTTCACCAGCTACCCCAACTGCTGGTGGGCCTTATCGGTTAGCTGGGTTATAATTAAAGACAGGCATGAACTGGAACATGGGAGTTTTGCCATTGATTTCAGTGGCACCAGGATGTCACCGTGAATCTGAACCCCTCCCCATATTGAGGAAGTATTCTGATCCAGGGGCCTAATTCGTGAGTCAGTTAGGGTTGCTTTGTGACAATATCCCAGCAAACAGTCTCCTTAAAAGCTGGTGGATCTAGCCAGCGTATGGGAATCTCTGGTGGTGCAGAGCTACCATAGCGCCTCTTACACCATCCCCCTCTCCTGGCCTGTACAGTGTGGCTGTGGAAATGGGGACATGGCTGGAGTATCTCTAAGCCCTGGTGATCCCCAGTTGCTGGGAGCCCTTTGGCAGAGCTAGCATCATTACAGAGACACATGGTTGCCCTAAATCTATGCCAGGAACTGGGCCAGCCCTGAACTACCCCTGACATGGCCTGTAGCTGAGACATCTTGGGTGTAGCTGAGAATCTGACCTCAGATCTAGATCCAAACACTATGGATCTTTTGGAAATTCAGATTCAGTCTGGATCCATCTCTAGTTGTGGATTAGCTTAAATATGACTGGAGGCAGGAGTGTTTAATGCCCTGCAGGATTGGGCCTGTTGTAGTCTCAGAAAAGAGGCCTCTAAGCTCCCTTTTTGTCCCTAGAAGCAGAGAGTGGTCATTAAAGGCATATTGGCAGGGCAGTGCGTGGGAAGATTCCCCTGATGTTGTTTATGAAGTACCCTCTCTGGGGATAGATACATGAAAGACTTCAGGGCTCGACTGCTAAATTCACACATACAAAGGTTTAAATGAAACTTTACAAAAATTAGACCATTAAAAAATACAGTTAGGAAAGGATGAAATGCACCCTGGGGATATAAAGGGGATATAAAGTCCTATCCTGGGAAAAAGATGGCCTAATACAGCAGTTCTCAGCCTTTGTTATGATTATTATTTTATTACCATTGTGCCTAGGCGCCCCTGTCACGGACCAGGACCTCAACAGAACAAAAAGAGGGTTGCTTTCCCCAAATGCTTACAACCCGAGTAATATTTTTCATAATGCAACTGCTTTTCCATAGTGGGACCACCTCAGAGCCCCTGCATTCCCATCTAGCCGGGACCCCCTTCATTTTCAGCAATATATCAAGGAAAAGTGGCCCCCAGGTGGAGAACACCAGGGTTAGCAGACAGCACTTAATGCAATCTAGGGCATTCCAAAAGCAACATACTATTGTGCTCTCTCTCTGCCCGCTACAGTTTAGCTCAGATAAGCAGAAGGATGAAGATTGCTAGACTCCAGATGTCGAGATCTGTTCAGTCTCTGCTCCCGAAACACCACTCCTGATTGATGTGTTTCCCAGCTGGCTGAAAGGCAGGACATTTCACGACCAGCTGGCTAACTGTAAAATAAATGCTTATGCTTTGTGATCGGATTCCATCCAGGGACTTGCTTACTGCCTTCCCTGGACCAACAAGCCACTGTTAGCATTGGAAAGAGGAATACTTTAGAAATGAGGGTCATTACTGCCGATTTTAGAAATAAAATTTCTATACGCTCTTGATGGACTTTAAATATCTTCCTTTTCACAAAGGAGCACTGTACCTTGCTTGCTTAAAGACTATTTGGGTGTGATGGAAGGACAAATTGATTAGTCTGTAATCAGAACATGCTTTTCTCATCTTTCAGCAACCTGCACCTTATTATGCACAACTAGTCCAAGAGCCAATAGTAATAATGCACCGTGAAATAACGACCTCCAAAGATGTGTCCATTGACTGTCATCCATCCTAAATGATCCCACCATTGGTTTACAAACTGCTTAACAATCTAGTGGCACACATACGCAAATCAATTCTCCCACCCTAAAATGCAGCCACTTCTAGGGAGAAACATGGCAACTGTTGAACAGAGCACAGCAATGTTACACAAGAGCTTAGGGTGGGAAGCAAAGAACAATACTAGTAGTCAATGGTGCTACAGGGGAATGTAAGGAGACTTAAGATGATAATTATCCAAGTTGGAGTTTGGCTGAGCTAACACCATGTTGAAGCTGGTGGGCAGCAACAATTAATTAATTAAGCTCCCATGTGGAATAGTTGAAACAACAGGATGACCTGCAAGGCCAGTGAGGAACGTGAATGATCTGAGTGGAAGTTTTTCCACTGGGGACTGGATATTGTTTGCTAGAGAGGTTTGCGAGTGAGAGTGGCAGAGGCAGCTGAAACACCACAGAAAGCAGCAGGGACGCACTTGTAGCATGACCCTGAGATAAAGCTAAGAGAGATCTTTGAGGTTAAGTGCTTGCTGAAAAGGGGGCTTGGAACTGTGGGCAAAGAAATGGTCCCCTGTTTGATTCTTACCAGGAGCAGGAAAATAAGACTTAGTGTACAGTCTTTGCAAATAATCAGGAAGTGCATCAAAAAAAATAGCTAACTCTGTCATCAATTTCTTCTCCCAACAGATACAACCTGCAAGACCCCGAACATTGGCTAACTGCTCAGGTCAAACAGGGTAGCACCAAGTGCCACCAGTAAGCTCAGTATTCTACAAGGAGGTGGACGAGATGGACCCTGCCTCAAGGAGTTTACAATCAAAGTTAAACAGACAATGCATCTTAGCCACATAATTAAGATGATCAGACTAGGACCTTATTGTACAAACCCAGAACAAAAACATGGTCCCTGCCACAAAGGCCTTACAATTTAATTAATAATTGACCCAATTCATTGAGAAGTAGCGATCAGAGAAACGAGACTTTGTTAGGGAAAAAGGGTTCCCCTCCCGTCTAGGGTTAGGAGGGTAGCCTTCCCTGGACTTCTGTATTAGCCAAACAAAACACAGAGTCTTGGCTCTTTGATAAAGTGAGGCACTTTATTGCTAGCAAATATGACAGCTGAAGGGCTCACCAATTCCTTTTCAGAGGAAAATGGTGAAGCCCCGAACAGAGAACAGGGATGAGCTTTTATAGCTTGGTTCAACATACATTGTGATATCTCTTCCAGTTCGAACCGGTTAACCCAGTCTGTTTGAAGTTCTGGGGTAGGTACGAGCATGGAGGCTTATCTGTATAAGGAATTCTCTTCCCAAAAGCAGGGAGTGCAGGTTACACACAGTTCACATTCTTTCTATCCATACACAAAGTAGAAAGGACAGATAAGCATAGAAAAAAAGACAGCAGCGTAGCTTTACATGATTATAGGGTCGTTTTCTGGGTTTTTTTTCCCTATCAACTTTAACAGGAACTGAGAGCACTCAGAACCTTGCAAGATCAGACTCTGTGCTACACATGATGTGCTGAAAGAGACTGAAAAGAAGCACAAAAATGGCATCTGCAAAGTTTCTGAGAAGATCACCTTTGAATAGCACCTCCAAAGGGCAGTGGCAGCGTACAGCTTGAGGCTATTTCGGAGGTGCGTAAAGTCCTTCTTTGGTGAAATTGGGGCAGGTGATGCATACCTATGCCCAAGAGACCGAAGCCGTGTATATGAATGGCGAGAAAGCCACCTACTGGCAAAGAAAAAAAAATACCAGGCAGGCATGTGTACCTTGTAAATTCTAGGAAATAGCACCGCCTGACCCACAAAGGAATTCAGACAAATTCACTGACATCCACAAATCCTCCCAAAGCGCTCCCCTCGGCCACCTTTAGCAGGACAGAGGATCCATGCTCACTCTAGACCCACCAAAACAGAACGGGAGCAGAAGTGGCAGCAGGGAGAGACCAGAGAAGAAAGGCCGAAGAAGACACACACAAAAACAAACAGTGAAGAGAAAAAAGATGGGGGGGGGGGGTGTCAAATCAGGAAAGAAAAGCACCTAGAATGTAAAAGCGAGGAACAGGAAGGGAAAGACGAGCCGGGGGGAGGGAGGGCAACACTTTGAATGTGCGATGTAAGACGGATTTGGCTGCCCCGAGGCAGTGTTCCCAGCTCAGAGGGGAAGGAGGTTACAGTCTCTCTGCGGGTCGCGGTCACGGAGCGTGGGGCAGGCTGCCGGGGAAGGTGAAGCTCTGCGCGTCCCTCTCTTGCGAGGAGGTGAACGTCAGCCCGCCCGAGCGCTCCGGGACCCGTCTCCCTCAGCCCCAGGTCGGCGGCGGAGGCGCGGCATTTCACAGCGTCGCCCCAGTCCCGCAAGGGGCGCCGGACAGAGAGCCGCCTGCCCGGGCAGATCTCAGGGCTTCAGGCAGAGCCGCCGCGAGTGACCCGCTTCCCGACTGGTGTCCCCCCCGCTCCTCCCTCCGCAGCGGACTGGCCCGCCCCCGGCCCTGGGGAAGGGGTCCTGCAGGGCGGGCTGACGGCGGTGACTGCCCTCCCCTCAGCAGGGTCCCCGGAGCGGCGCTAACGCCCGGCTGGCGGGGCCCCCTAGGGGCCCAGCTCGCACCAGGCTCCGCCGCCCACTACCTGGCGCCGGGCCGGGCCCGGCCCCTCCTGCCGACCTCCCATTGGCCAGGCAATTGCCACCCTTTCACGGCTCGTCCTATAGCCCAACAAGCCAAGGGAGGTAGCCTCTGATTGGCCAGGCCCTGGTCCCCGTCCCTTTTGATTGGCCCAGTATAGGCCACGGTCTCCTCTCTGGTCCGACACTTGGAAAGGGCGGGATGCTCCCCCTTCCCTGTTCAGGGATTGGGCGGCTCCGCTGCCATTCTCCAGTGATTTCTCTTCTCGCTGATTGGTCAAGCTGTCCGTCAGTCACTGTAGAGGCAGGGCTATGCGGCGTCCTGGGCGGCTGCGTTATGAGAGAGACGGAGCGGGACAAAGGACCTTGTGTCCTCTTACTTTTGGACACTGGGTTTGCGCTCTCGCGTTCCTGATAGCCTATTGGTCAGTGAGGCTGTCAATCAAAACTTGGGGGGTGGGAATCTGTCAGTCAAAGATAG